AAGTAGAAATCAATCAATTCAAGCATCACTAGTTTTTCATTGAAAACAGAATTACTGCCGAAAATAATTTCAAGTTAAATAATAAACCACAATTTACCTGCTAGCATCTATAGCAAACAGCCAACCGCAACAAACAAAGCCTCGAGCATATCATATGACAACGAGAGAGAGCACGCTTGTATACATCCGTGACTTTTCATGAATGCTGACCAGCGTGCTCTCTCTCGTTGTCACACTGATAATGTCTCAAATCTCTAAGTATGCACAACTACAAAGAAAGTTGGAATACACTTGTAAGAATACATTAAAGAAGAATAATGACGAAGCTAAATATAATATGGTAACATAAGACCCTTTTGAACTTAAAACAGAAACATCAGTCATAGATCCTCAAATTGTCAGTTTATATTTATTTATTGACCCAGAAATTCAGCATAACACACATCTAATAATGTGGAAGTTATCACTGCAATAGTAATATATGCAGTTATAAGAGGAATCCTTCAATTTCAGGAGACATTTGGATTCCTGCCTCTTTATCATAGGAACTGTAAGACAAATTCAAGTATCAACTGAGCACGTGATTTCATCAGTAGTTGACTAGATGGCTTAAATCCATCCAAAAATGTTTGTGCAGAAGCCATATCACATGCAATAAAAGACAAAACTTTGAGCTAGCTAGATGAAAAACCAAACCCAAAAGGCATAATGAACATCTAGGATAAACTTTTATAGTCATGAATCTGGAAAGCATCAAAGTAAGAGAAAAAAAAAAAATCTCACCAGAACCTGAACTGGAACTTCAGCTTCTCTGCATACCCAGAATGTGTAGAAGGGGGAGTTTATACCAGCAATCAAGCACATTATATGGGGCTAAACCCATATACAATTCAAAGAACTGCATACAAGGAATGCACCTAAGAATGCAAATCCTTATGAAATAGATGAGAATGCAACTAAGAATTTCTTAGACACCTTAAATAATTCATATAGAAGTACATGATAAGAGGGTTTCAGAAGAGAAAAGTGACATACATAAACAAATTTAGCTCAGCCAGGCCATTAGGTTTCCCTTCTACAGTTCTACGAAAGAAAAAAAAACCCTAATTTCTCAAAATGAAAGGGAAAATGTTAAGTTTTATCTATGGATCAAGAACCAGCACTAATTTGAAGGAAACAA